TGATGATGACGATGACACTGACAGTGACGATGATGACGATGGTGATGATGACACTGACAGTGACGATGATGATGATGATGACGATGACAATGATGACGATGATGACGATGATGAACCTCCCACCATGTCCACGACGTGGAGGTGCCCGTAGGAGAAGACGATGGCGTTGGGTGGAGTGGCCACCGGCAGCATGAAGGCAAAGGAGGTGCAGAGCGTGCAGGGAGCCATCAGGTACAGAGGGTGGATACCCATCGCCTTCGCCTGGTGGGAGAGGGTGGCACGGGTTGGGGGTGGCACGGGTTGAGGGTGGCACGGGTTGGGGAGTGGCACGGGTTGGGGGTGGCACGGGTTGGGGGTGGCACGGGTTGGGGGGTGGCACGGGTTGGGGGTGGCACGGGTTAGAGGGTGGCACGGGTTGGGGGTGGCACGGGTTGAGGTGGCACGGGTGGGGGGGTTAGAGGGTGGCACGGGTTGGGGGTGGCACGGGTTGGGGGTGGCACGGGTTGGGGGTGGCACGGGTTGGGGGTGGCACGGGTTGGGGGTGGCACGGGTTAGAGAGTGGCACGGGTTGAGGGTGGCACGGGTTGGGGGTGGCACGGGTTGGGGGTGGCACGGGTTAGAGAGTGGCACGGGTTGGGGGTGGCACGGGTTGGGGTTGGCACGGGTTGGGGTGGCACGGGTTGTGGGTGGCACGGGTTGGGGGTGGCACGGGTTGGGGTTGGCACGGGTTGGGGTGGCACGGGTTGGGGGGTGCCACGGGTTGGGGGGTGGCACGGGTTGGGGGTGGCATGGGGTTGAGGGTGGCACGGGTTGGGGGTGGCACGGGTTGGGTGTGGCACGGGTTGGAGAGTGGCACGGGTTGAGGGTGGCACGGGTTGGGGGTGGCACGGGTTAGAGGGTGGCACGGGTTAGAGGGCGGCACGGGTTGGGGGTGGCACGGGTTGGGGGGTGGAACGGGTTGGGGGGTGGCACGGGTTGGGGGTGGCACGGGTTGGGGGGTGGAACGGGTTGGGGGTGGCACGGGTTGGAGGTGGCACGGGTTGGGGTGGCACGGGTCGAGGGTGGCACGGGTTAGAGGGTGGCACGGGTTAGAGGGCGGCATGGGGTTGAGGGTAGCACGAGTTGAGGGTGGCACGGGTTGAGGGTGGCACGGGTTAGAGGGTGGCACGGGTTGGGGGTGACACGGGTTAGAGGGCGGTACGGGTTGGGGGTGACACGGGTTGTGGGTGGCACGGGTTGTGGGTGGCACGGGTTGTGGGTGGCACGGGTTGGGGTGGCACGGGTTGAGGGTGGTACGGGTGCATGGTCGTGATTATATAATCATGGTGGTGATGGTGATGATAGTGGTGGGGATGGTGGTGATAGTGGTGGTGGTGGTGATGATGGTGATGATGATGATGGTGATGATGATGGTGGTGGTGGTGATGATGATGGTGGTGGTGATGGTGGTGGGGATGGTGGTGATAGTGGTGGGGATGGTGGTGATAGTGGTGGTGGTGGTAGTGGTGATGATGATGGTGATGATGATGATCGTGGTGGTGATGATGTTGGTGGTGATGGTGATGATGCTGAAGGTGGTGGTAGTGGTGGTGATGGTGGTGGTAGTGGTGGTAATGGTGATGATGGTGATGATGAAGGTGGTGGTAGTGGTGGTGATGGTGGTGGTGATGATGTTGGTGGTGATGGTGATGATGATGGTAATGGTGGTGATGGTGGTGGTAGTGGTGATGGTGATGATGGTGATGATGAAGGTGGTGGCAGTGTTGGTGATGGTGGTGGTGATGATGATGGTAGTGGTGGTGGTGGTGATGATGATGGTGGTGATGGTGGTGATGATGATGGTGGTGGTGGTGGTAGTGGTGGTGATAGTGGTGGGGATGGTGGTGATAGTGGTGGTGGTGGTGGTAGTGGTGGAAATGGTGCTGATGGTGTTGATGGTGATGATGAAGGTGGTGGCAGTGGTGGTGATGGTGGTGGTAGTGTTGGTGATGGTGGTGGTGATGGTGATAGTGGTGGTGATGATGATGGTAATAGTGGTGGTGATGATGATGGTGATAGTGGTGGTGATGGTGGTGATGGTGTTGATGGTGATGATGAAGGTGGTGGCAGTGGTGGTGATGGTGATGATGAAGGTGGTGGCAGTGGTGGTGATGGTGGTGATGGTGGTGATGGTGGTGGTGATGGTGGTGATGATGATGATGGTGGTGGTGGTGATGGTGGTAGTGATGATGGTGATGATGGTGGTGATGGTGATGGTGATGATGGTGATGATGAAGGTGGTGGCAGTGTTGGTGATGGTGGTGGTGGTGATGGTGGTGAGTAGGAGGAGAACTCCTCACCATGGAGGCGAGGATGGGCAGGAAGAGCGTGGCCGTGGTGGTGATGTTGGTGGTGGTGATGGTGGTGGTCATGGTGGTGATGGTGGTGATGGTGATGGTGGTGGTGATGGTGGTGATGGTGGTGGTGATGGTGGTGGTCATGGTGGTGATGGTGGTGGTGGTGATGGTGGTGGTGATGGTGGTGATGGTGGTGATGGCAGTGTTGGTGATGTTGGTGGTGGTGATGGTGGTGAGTAGGTGGAGAACTCCTCACCATGGAGGCGAGGATGGGCAGGAAGAGCGTGGCCCTGGTGGTGATGTTGGTGGTGGTGATGGTGGTGGTGATGGTGGTGGTCATGGTGGTGATGGTGGTGGTGGTGATGGTGGTGGTGATGGTGGTGATGGTGGTGATGGCAGTGTTGGTGATGTTGGTGGTGGTGGTGATGGTGGTGAGTAGGTGGAGAACTCCTCACCATGGAGGCGAGGATGGGCAGGAAGAGCGTGGCCGTGGTGGTGTTGCTCATGCACTCAGTGAGGGTGGCGATGAGCAGGCAAATGATCACCGAGATGGCCCAGGGAGAGATGCTCCGGAGAGGGTAAAGCTGCTCGGACAGCCACAAGGACAGCCCAGACACCTACACAGACACACACAGACACAGTCACACACACACAGACACCTACACAGACACACACAGACACACACAGACACAGTCACACACACACAGACACACATACACAGACACACATACAAACACACATACACACACACACAGACACACACACACAGTCACACACACACAGACACACAGTCACACACACACACACAGACACACACAGACACAGACACACACACACAGACACACATACACAGACACACATACAAACACACAGTCACACAGACACAGTCACACACACACAGACACACAGTCACACAGTCACACACACACACAGACACACAGACAGACACACACAGACACAGTCACACACACACAGACACACACACACAGACACAGACACACACACGCACACACAGACACAGTCACACACAGACACACACACACACAGTCACACACACACAGACACCTACACAGACACACACAGACACACACAGACACAGTCACACACACACAGACACCTACACAGACACACACAGACACAGTCACACACACACACAGACACCTACACAGACACACACACACACACAGTCACACAGTCACACACACACAGACACACACATACACACACACAGACACACACAGACACACACACAGACACACAGTCACACAGACACACACACAGACACACACAGACACAGACACACACACACACACAGACACACAGTCACACAGTCACACACACACACACAGACACACACAGACACACACAGACACAGTCACACACACACATACACACACACATACACACACACAGACACAGTCACACAGACACAGTCACACACACACACAGACACACACACACAGACACACACACACAGACACACACACACATACACACACACATACACACACACATACACACACACACACATACATACACACATACACATACACACACACACATACACACATACACACACACAGACACACACACACACATACACACATACACACACATACACACACACATACACACACACACAGACACACACACACAGACACACACATACACACACACACGGACACACACACACAGACACACACAGACACACACATACACAGACACACACACACAGTCATACACACACACATACACACACATACACACACACAGACACACACACATACACACACACAGACACACACACAGACACACACATACACACACACACAGACACACACACACAGACACACACACAGACACACATACACACACACATACACACACACAGACACACACACACATACACACACAGACACAACAACAACCGCCATTCGCCACTAAGTGGCGGTGACGTCACCACGACGCTTGTGCCAGGCTATGTGCACCGTGAGGCCACGTGAAGTGTCGAACGCCCGCTGGCAGGAGGTCACTGGGCAGACCCAGGTGCCACGGGTCGACTGACTGAGATGACTGGCTGATGCACCACCTGTGCCCCCTACTGTGCCAACCTGCTGTGCTTTAGCCACCCGGCGCTCCGCTCGCTGTTGTGAGCGTCGCTCCTCCGCCCTCCGTTGTTGTTGGAGGGCGACTGCCTCCAACTGCCCAGTAGCATCCTTCACGAGCCTCCTCCACAGAGGCCGATCTTGACACCGCTGGTACCAGTCATCGGCAAGTCCACTCAGCTCCACGTCCTCCTGTACCACATCACTCCATCTCTTCTCTAGCCCGTGCCGCGCCCGCTTAGCCCCCTCAATCCGGCCAAACAAAAGCTGTTTCGGCATGCGGTGGCTGGGCATGCGGGCTACATGACCCAGCCATCCCAGCCTTGCCTGCCGGAGGAGCTCACCGATGGGACCCTGCCCAGATCTTTCAAGGATTTGTGCGCTCCTCACACAATCCAGTCTGGTTAAACCCAGGATGGATCGTAGGCAGGTCAGCCTAAATGTTTCTAACCGGCGAAGATGTTCTATTAGGGGGGTCCACGTTTCGCAAGCGTAGAGAAGGGAGGGAATGATCGTGGCCGAGAAGACCTGAAGCTTAGTGCGGAGTGACAGACCAGGTAGCTTCCACACAGCGTTACGCAACCGATGAAAAGATATTGCCGCTCGACTGATTCGGAGTGAGACCTCTGCTGTTAAACTGGAGCCAGTCATAAGCACACTGCCCAGGTATGGGAAACTCTCCACTCTCTCCACAACTGCCCCATCACCGATTGGGAGTTGTGGGGGTGGAGTGTCCGATGGTACAAAATACCCAGGCAGGTGCTTAGTTTTGGTGGGGCTGATGGTAAGGCCCCACCTCTTAGTGGCACGCTCCAGTCTCAGCAGCAGCGTCTCCAACTCCTCCTCTGACTGAGCAGTTATTACCAAGTCATCAGCATACATAACGTGGTTGAGCAATAGGGAGCCATCCCTTGACCGCACCCGGGCATCGATTAGCCTCCCATTATATCTGTACCATATGGAGATTCCCCCGGTACAGCTATTGAAGGCTTCACGAACTACGTGGTCAAAATAGATGTTAAATAATGTGGGAGCCAGAGGACATCCCTGTCGCACCCCAAGGTGTACAGGGAATGGCTCTGACTCCCGGCCACGTAGTTTTACCCGGGCCTGCTCACCATCATGAAGGTCCTTAATGATCGTGAGCAGAGGGTCAGGTACTCCAAAAGCACGAAGAACGACCCAGAGCCCAGGCCTACTGATGGTATCATAGGCCTTGACCAGGTCAATAAAGCAGAGATGTAGGTCTTGTTGGAATTCCCTACACCTCTGCTGTAGCAGACGGACAGAAAATATGGCATCTGTGCAGGACCGCCCTTTCCTGAAACCGCATTGGGGCTCCGCAAGCCTCTCCTCAGCGTGCCTGGCAAGGCGATGCTGAATAATCCTTGCCAGGACCTTTCCCGGCACACTGAGGAGTGAGATGCCCCTGTAGTTGTTACAGTCTGTGCGGTCCCCCTTCTTAAAAAGGGGGACCACCAGGGCATCCTTCCAATCCTGCGGAACCCGTCCAGTGGTCCAGACTGTTGTTATGATGTCATATAGGGCAGTCTGTGCACAAACGCCACCCTCCCTCAGCATTTCGCTTGGGAGATCATCTCTGCCCGCTGCCTTTCCTGGTCTCAGACTCCGGATCGCCTTCAATACTTCCTCAGCAGATGGCACCTCAGCCAGCCACTCACAGGGGGTGACTTCTTCCAATATTTGAGGCACCGCAACCTCAGCAGGGTCATCCTCACTTTGTGCCACGATGTTTTCCTGGCTGAGGGATTTTCCCTCCCCCAGGACCTCACAGAAATGCTCAGCAAATCTGCTAACCTGTTCCTGGGGGTCGGAAATTGGATCACCGTTTTTTCCCCTAATGATGGTAATAGGTGTGGCGCTGCAGGTTACTTTTTTGATGGAGTTAAATAGAGATTTGTGATCACGGGCCACTGAGGCAGACTCCATCTCCTCAGCAACCCGCGACCACCACCCATCCTTGCAGCGCCTCACGGCTCTCCGAACCTCCGAGCGAAGGCTGCGGTAAGCCTCCTCATTCTCTGACGTGGGATTCTGTAGCCGATGACAGTGGGCCTGTCGCTTTTTCTCAACCATCCTGAACAACTCCTCTGTCATCCAGGGTGTCTGGGGAGGTCTGGACCGCGTACCCAAAGCAGCCATTGCAGCTGCATGAGTCACAGTCCTAAACCTCGCCCATTTACCCTCGACAACAGGAGGAGTCGGGGACGATGCCAATCCCAGCCGCAAGCGATGATGAAATTCTCGCTTGCAACTTTCATCAGATAACTGAGACCAGGCCACTTTAGGTTGGAATGGGGTCCTGGGTGTACACCCACCACCGGAGTGGAAGAATGGCAGGCGCATCTTACAGATGACTAGTCGATGGTCAGAGGGCAGATCAGCTCCACGGTAGGTCCTTGTGTCAAGGACATGGGCTCGCATTCGCTGGTCCGTCACTATGTAGTCCAGCAGATGTTCTTGCTTGGACCCGGCATGCATCCATGATGTTGTGTGGATGCGCCGATGCCGGAACAGCGTGTTGGTAATTACAAGCCCATGGGCTGCACAAAAATCTAGCAGCCTCCTACCGTTGTTATTGAGCTGATCTGGCCCATGCCCTCCAATCATTTCAGACCAGGTGCCAGTATCATGACCAACTCGGGCATTGAAGTCACCCAACATGATGACTCTATCCCGAGGGGCCACTTTAGCCAGCACCTGTGACAGGAGGTCATAGAAGGCATCTGACTCATCGGCTTTGCCTGCATCCCTCCACGGATGTTCATCTTCGGTGGGGGCATAAGTAACCACGACCACCATTCCTCGCCTCCGGTTGATGGGAAGGCGAGCCCAAAGTAGCCTGGGGCTTACAGCTTCCCACACCTCACCGCCACGCTCCCACGCCCCCTTCATTCTTTTGTTCAAAAGAAGACCCACACCCTGTTGTTTGGCAGTCTGCTGCCCCGAGTAGAGGACTGTCCACCCCTCATGGTGGCAGGAGCCAGAGCCGGCCCACCGGACCTCCTGAATGCCGCATAGATCCAGGCGGTACCGGTCCAGCTCCCGACAGAGGAGTGGCAGCCTCTCCTCTGCAGTGAGCGTTCGAACATTCCACGTGGCCACCCGTAGTGGCTTTTCGTTGTTTCTGGAGTAGCCCCGAGGGTAGGTATTCAATCTCCTGGCTCCGCCAATTGGGGTTTGGCCAGGAGACGTCATAGACGCCTGGCCCCCCGGGGCCTCCGGCACAAGCTTAGTTGTTACATATTTCAGTTTAATTCGTGGTTTTGTGGTAATTAATTGAAGGTTGAGGGGTTACCAGCCCCTCGCACCCGTCCAGAGCCCCCGTTTAGCCCCTGTGATGGACACATATGCCATGAGGGGAGGAGCCAATCAAAATTGGAACTCCCCCCACAGCGCTGTCCACGACAGAGTTGCCCGTCCGGCACCGCGAGGAGGTAGGGGGTTGTTTTGCCGGACACACACACACAGTCACACACACACAGACACCTACACAGACACACACAGACACAGTCACACACACACAGACACACACACACAGACACAGACACACACACACACAGACACAGTCACACACACACAGTCACACACACAGACACACACAGACACACAGTCACACACACACAGACACCTACACAGACACACACAGACACAGTCACACACACAGACACAGTCACACACACAGACACAGTCACACACACACACAGACACACACAGACACACACAGACACACACACACAGACACACACACACAGTCACACACACATACACACACACATACACACACACACATACACACACACACACATACACACACACATACACACACAGACACACACACACACACATACATACACACAGACACACACATTCACACATACACACACAGTCTCACACACACAGTCACACACACATACACACACAGACACACACACAGTCACACACACACACAGTCACACACACATACAGACACACACACATACAGACACACACGCACATACACACACACACAGACACACACACAGACACACACACACACACACAGACACACACACAGATACACACACACAGACACATACACACACACAGATACACACACACACACATACACACATTCACATACACACACATACACACACAGACACACATACACATACACACATTCACAGACGCACCTCGCATCCCTTGGCGAGTGCGAATCCTCCTCCGAGCAGCAGCACAATGTTCCAGGGCATGGAGCGTTGTACAGAGTCCCACTCCAGCAGACACCTGCTGGGACCTACACACACACACAGTCACACACACAGTCACACTCACACACACAGTCACACACACACACAGTCACACAGTCACACACACACAGACACACACACACACAGACACACACAGTCACACACACACAAAGTCACACACACAGTCACACACACAGTCACACAGACACACACAGTCACACACACAGTCACACACACAGTCACACAGACACACACAGTCACACACAGTCACACACACAGTCACACACACACAGTCACACACACACACACAGAGACACACAGACACAGTCACACACAGACACACACAGACACGTGCTGGGAGCTACACACACACACAGATACACAGACACACAGACACACACACAGACACACACACAGTGACACACACACACACACAGACACACAGTCACACACACACACAGACACACACAGACATGCATAGACACACACACGGACACACAGACACACAAACACACACAGACACACACAGTCACACACACACAGACATACATACATAGACACACACACAGACACACAGACACACACAGAGTCACACACACCTCTGCTGTAGCTGTAGCAGACGGACAGAAAATATGGCATCTGTGCAGGACCGCTCTTTCCTGAAACCGCATTGGGGCTCCGCAAGCCTCTCCTCAGCGTGCCTGGCATGGCGATGTTGAATAATCCTTGCCAGGACCTTTCCCGGCACACTGAGGAGTGAGATGCCCCTGTAGTTGTTACAGTCTGTGCGGTCCCCCTTCTTAAAGAGGGGGACCACCAGGACATCCTTCCAATCCTGCGGAACCCGTCCAGTGGTCCAGACCGTTGTTATGATGTCATATAGGGCAGTCTGTGCACAAACGCCACCCTCCCTCAGCATTTCGCTTGAGAGATCATCTCTGCCCGGTGCCTTTCCTGGTCTCAGACTCCGGAAAGTGGGACGATGCCAATCCAAGCTGCAGGCGATGATGAAATTTTCACTTACAACTTTCATCAGCTAGCTGAGACCAAGCCACCTTGGGTTTGAAAGGGGTCCTGGGTGTACACCCGCCACCGCAGTGGAAGAATGGCAGGCGCATCTTACAGATGGCAAGTCGATGGTCAGAGGGCAGATCAGCTCCACGGTAGGTCCTGGTGTCAAGGACATGGGCTCGCATCCGCTGGTCCGTGACTATGTAGTCCAGCAGATGTTCTTGCTTGGACCCGGCATGCATCCATGATGTTGTTTGGATGCGCCAATGCCGGAACAGCGTGTTGGTAATTACAAGCCCATGGGCTGCACAAAAGTCTAGCAGCCTCCTACCGTTGTTATTGAGCTGATCCAATTACTCCAGACCAGGTGCCAGCATCATGACCAAATCGGGCATTGAAGTCGCCCAACATTATGACTCTATCCCGACGGGCCACTTTAGCCAGCACCTGTGACAGAAGGTCATAGAAGGCATCTGACTCATCTGCCTTGCCTGCATCCCTCCACGGATGTTCGTCTTCGGTGGGGGCATAAGTAACCACGACCACCACTCAGCTTCCCACACCTCACCGCCACGCTCCCACGCCCCCTTCATTCGTTTATTCAGAAGAAGAGCCACACCCTGTTGTTTGGCAGTCTCCTGCCCCGAGTAGAGGACTGTCCCCATCCCTCATGGTGGCAGGAGCCAGAGCCGGTCCACCGGACCTCCTGAATGCCACAGAGCTCCAGGCGGTACCGGTCCAGCTCCCGACAGAGCAGTGGCAGCCTCTCCTCCTCAGTGAGTGTTCGAACATTCCACGTGGCCACCCGTAGTGGCTTTTCGTTGTTTCTGGAGGAGCCCCGAGGGTAGAGATTCAATCTCCTGGCTCCGCCAAATGGAGTTTGGAGACGTGATTAAAAAGCCTTTTCCCCCCCGGGGCCTCCGGCGCTAGCTTCGTTTGATATATTTTTTTAAGTGGTTTAGTGGTAATTAATTGAAGGTGGAGGGGTTACCAGCCCCTCGCACCCGTCCAGAGCTGACGCCTTTGGTCTCCGTGGTGGCTACAGACGCCATGAAGGGAATGGCCACAGACAGAGACACACAGAGACACACAGAGACACAGAGACACACAGACACACACAGAGATACAGACACACACAGACACACAGAGATACACAGAGATACACAGAGACACAGAGACAGAGATACACAGAGACACACAGACAGACACACACACACAGAGACATACACAGATACACACACAGAGACACATAGACACACACAGAGACACGCACACAGACACGCACACACAGACACATAGACACACCGAGACACGCACACAGACACACACACAGAGAAACACATAGACACACTCTCTGTGTGTCTCTATGAGTGTGAGTCTCTGTGGGTCTCTATGAGTGTGGGTCTCTGTGGGTCTCTGTGAGTCTCTGTTTTTGCCGGACACACAGACAGAGACGGAGACATGGAGCGCTGCACTCCAGCAGACACACAAAGACACACAGACAGAGACACACAGAGACACACAGACACACAGACACACAGAGAGACACACACAGACACAGAGAGAGACACACACAGACACAGAGACACACAGAGATACACAGACACACACAAACACACAGAGACACAGACACATAGAGACACACAGAGACACACAGACACACAGACACACACAGACACACAGACACACACAGACACACACAGAGACACACACAGACACAGAGACACACAGAGATACACAGACACACACAGACACACAGAGACACAGACACATATAGACACACAGAGACACACAGACAGAGATACAGAAACACAGACACACACAGACACACAGACACACACAGACTCACACAGACACACACACATAAACACACAGAGACACAGACACATAGAGACACACAGAGACACACAGACAGAGATACAGAAACACATACAGACACACACACAGACACACACAGACACACACACAGAGATACAGAAACACAGACACAGACACACACAGACACACACAGATAAACACACAGAGACACAGACACACGCTGGGAGCTACACACATAGAGACACACAGAGACACACAAACAGAGATACACAGAGACACACAGACAGATACAGAAACACATACAGACACATAGACACACAGACACACAGACACACACAGACACATAAACACACAGATACACGGTGGAAGCTACACACAAAGAGACACACAGAGACACACAGACAGAGATACAGAAACACAGACACACACAGACACATAGACACACAGACACATAAACACACAGAGACACATACACACGTTGGGAGCTACACACATAGAGACACACAGAGACACACAAACAGAGATACAGAAACACATACAGACACATAGACACACAGACACACACAGACACACACACATAAATACACAGAGACACATATTTGCACAGAGACACAGAAAATCACAGAGACATAGAGAGACAGAGAGAGAGAGAGACACGCATACTACCGCTACCCACTTACACTCTATCCTCCCTACACAAACTTCCACCCACTCCCTCTCACCCATCAACCGTCCCCTGCTCCCCACTCACCCACCCACTCACCCACTCACTCACCCACCCACTCACTCACCCACTCACTCACCCACCCACCCACTCACCCACACACTCACTCACCCACTCACTCACCCACTCTCCCACCCACTCTCCCACCCACTCACTCACCCACCCACCCACCCACTCACCCACCCACCCACCCACTCACCCACCCCCTCACCCACTCACCCACCCACCCACTCACTCACCCACCCACCCACTCACCCACCCACCCACTCACTCACCCACTCACCCCCCCCTCACTCTCCCACCCACTCACCCACACACCCACTCACCCACTCACTCACCCACTCACCCACCCACCCACTCACCCACACACCCACCCACTCACTCACCCACCCACCCACCCACTCACTCACCCCCCCCCTCACCCACCCACTCACTCACTCACCCACTCTTCCACCCCCCCCACCCACCCACCCACCAACCCACCCACCCACTAACCCACTCTCCCACCCACCCACTCTCCCACCCACCCACTCACTCACCCACCCACTCACTCACCCACCCACCCACTCACCCACCCACCCACTCGCCCACCCACCCACTCACCCACCCACCCACTCACCCCCCCACTCTCCCACCCCCCCTCACCCACCCACTCACCCACCCACTCACTCACCCACTCTCCCACCCCCCCACCCACCCACCCACTAACCCACCCACCCACTCACCCACTCACTCACCCACTCACCCACCCACTCACCCACCCACCCACTCACCCACCCACCTACCCCGCCACCCACCCACCCCCCACCCACCCACCCCCCCACCCACCCACCCACTAACCCACCCACCCACCCACTAACCCACTCTCCCACCCACCCACTCTCCCACCCACCCACTCACTCACCCACCCACTCACTCACCCACCCACCCACTCACCCACCCACCTACTCTCCCACCCACCCACCCACTCTCCCACCCACCCACTCACCCACCCACCCACTCTCCCACCCACCCACTCACCCCCCCCACTCTCCCACCCCCCCTCACCCACCCACTCACTCACCCACTCACTCTCCCACCCACTCTCCCACCCACCCACCCACTCACTCACCCACTCACTCACCCACTCACCCACCCACCTACCCCCTCACCCCACCACCCACCCACCCACTCACCCCCCCCACTCTCCCACCCCCCCTCACCCACCCACCCACCCACCCACTCACCCACCCACCCACTCTCCCACCCACCCACCCACTCACTCACCCACTCACTCACCCACTCACCCACCCACCTACCCCCTCACCCCACCACCCACCCACCCACTCACCCACCCACCCCCTCACCCACTCACCCACCCACCCACTCACCCACCCACCCACTCACTCACCCACCCACTCACTCACCCCCCCACTAACCCCCCCACTAACCCCCCCACTCTCCCCCCCACTAACGCACCGTCTCCCCGTGGTGCTGTGGTCTGCCCTGACCAAAGCCTTCTGCTGCTGCTGCTGCTCTGCAGGAGCTGCGGCGGTCTCGCCGGTACCACAAAGAGGGACAGCGACACCAAGATGGCCGCCGTGGCGTCAGACACGAAGCTGAGACACGGGGGGGGGGGGTGGTGGAGACACGGGGGAGACACGGGGTCACAGGGAGACATGGCGGAGACACGGGGGAGACACGGGGGAGACACTGGGGAGACACGGGGGAGACACTGGGGAGACACGGGGTCACAGGGAGACACGGGGGAGACACGGGGGAGACACGGGGGAGACACGGGGAAGACACGGGGTCACAGGGAGACATGGCGGAGACACGGGGGAGACACGGGGGAGACACGGGGTCACAGGGAGAGACACGGGGGAGACACGGGGGAGACACGGGGTCACAGGAAGACATGGCGGAGACACGGCGGAGACACGGGGGAGACACTGGGGAGACACGGGGTCACAGGGAGACACGGGGTCACAGGGAGACACGAAGTCACAGGGAGACACGGGGGAGACACGGGGGAGACACGGGGTCACAGGGAGAAATGGCGGAGACACGGGGGAGACACGGGGTCACAGGAAGACATGGCGGAGACACGGGGGAGACACGGGGTCACAGGGAGACACGGGGTCACAAGGAGACACGGGGTCACGGGGAGAGACACGGGTGAGACACGGGGGAGACACGGGGTCACAGGGAGAGACACGGGGTCACAGGGAGACACGGGGTCACAGGGAAAGACACGGGTGAGACACGGGGGAGACACGGGGTCACAGGGAGACACGGGGTCACAGGGAGACACGGGGTCACAGGGAGAGACACGGGTGAGACACGGGGGAGACACGGGGTCACAGGGAGAGACACGGGGTCACAGGAAGACACGGGGGAGACACGGGGGAGACACGGGGTCACAGGGAGACACGGGGGAGACACGGGGGAGACACGGGGGAGACACGGGGTCACAGGGAGAGACACGGGCAGTGTCGAGTACAAGGTCAGTATTGGGTCTCTATGAGTGTGGGTCTCTGTGGGTCTCTGTGAGTGTGGGTCTCTGTGAGTGTGGGTCTCTATGAGTGTGGGTCTCTGTGGGTCTCTGTGAGTGTGGGTCTCTATGAGTGTGGGTCTCTGTGAGTGTGGGTCTCTGTGGGTCTCTGTGAGTGTGGGTCTCTGTGAGTGTGGGTCTCTGTGGGTCTCTATGAGTATGGGTCTCTGTGAGGGTGGGTCTCTATGAGGGTGGGTCTCTATGAGTGTGGGTCTCTGTGAGTGTGTGTCTCTATGGGTCTCTATGAGTGTGTGTCTCTGTGGGTCTCTATGGATCTCTGTGAGTCTCTATGGATCTCTGTGCGTCTCTATGGATCTCTATGAGTCTCTGGATCTCTATGAGTCTCTATAAATCTCTGTGAGTTTCTATGAGTCTCTGTGAGTTTCTATGAGTCTTCATGAGTCTCTCTGGATCTCTGTGAGTTTATATGGATGTCTGTGAGTCTCTATGGGTCTCTATGAGTCTCTATGGATCTCTGAGAGTCTCTATGAGTCTATATGAGTCTCTATGGATCTCTGTGAGTCTCTATGAGTCTCTGTTAGTCTCTATGGATCTCTGTGAGTCTATGGGTCTCTGAGAGTCTCTATGGATCTCTATGGATCTCTGTGAGTCTCTATGAGTCTCTGTTAGTCTCTATGGATCTCTGTGAGTCTATGGGTCTCTGAGAGTCCCTATGAGTCTCTGTTAGTCTCTATGGATCTATGTGAGTGTATGGGTCTCTGAGAGTCTCTATGGATCTCTATGGATCTCTGTGAGTCTTTGTGAGTCTCTGTTAGTCTCTATGGTTCTCTATGGATCTCTGTGAGCCTTCATGAGTCTCTGGATTTCTGTGAGGCTATGGGTCTCTGTGAGTCTCTATGGATCTCTGAGAGTCTCTATGAGTTTATATGATTCTCTATGGATCTGTGTGGGTCTCTATGTATCTATGTGAGTTTCTATGAGTCTCTGGATCTCTGTGAGTCTCTATGGATCTCTATGAGTCTCTATGGATCTCTATGAGTCTCTATGGATCTCTATGAGTCTGTGGATCTCTGTGAGTTTCTATGAATCTCTGGATCTCTGTGAGTCTCTGAGAGTCTATTTGAGTCTCTACGAGTCTCTGGTTGTCTGCGAGTCTCTATGGATCTCTGTGAGTCTTTATGAATCTCTATGAGATTCTATGAGTCTCTGTGAGTTTCTATGAGTCTTCATGAGTCTCTATGGATCTCTGTGAGTTTCTATGGATATCTGTGAGTCTCTATGAGACTCTGTGAGTCTTTATGAGTCTTCATGATACTCTGGATCTCTGTGAGTCTCTATATGAATCTTCATGAGTCTCTATGGATCTCTGTTAGTCTCTATGGATCTCTGTTAGTCTCTATGAGTCTTCATGAGTCTCTATGGATCTCTGTTATTCTCTATGGATCTCTGTTAGTCTCTATGAGTCTTCATGAGTCTCTGGATCTCTGTGAGTCTCTATGGATCTGTGGGAGTCTCTATGGATCTCTGTGAGTCTCTATGTATCTCTGTGAGTCTCTATGAGTCTCTATGAGTCTCTATGAGTCTCTGAGAGTCTCTATGAGTCTTCATAAGTCTCTGGATCTCTGTGAGTCTCTATGGATCTCTGTTCGTCTCTGGATTTCTGTGAGTCTATATGGATTTCTGTGAGTCTCTATGTATCTCTATGAGTCTCTGCGAGTCTCTATGAGTCTCTGTGAGTCTATGCGAGTCTCTGTGAGCCATTGCAAGTCTCTGGATCTATACGCATCTCTGTATCTCTGTGAGTCTCTCTACATGAGTCGTCATGAGTCTCTGGATCTCTGCCAGTCTCTACGAGTCTCTGTGATTCTCTATGAGTCTCTATGAGTCTCTACGATTCTCTACGAGTCTCTGCGAGTCTCTGCGAGTCTGTGCGAGTCTCTGGATCTATTCTTGTCTCTGGATCTCTGTAAGTCTCTACATGAGTCTTCATGAGTCTTCATGAGTCTCTGGATCTCTGCGAGTCTCTGCGAGTCTCTGGATCTATACGCGTCTCAGGATCTCTGTGAGTCCCTTTACGAGTCTTCATGAGTCTCTATGGCTCTCTGTGAGTCTCTAAGTACCTCTGTGAGTCTCTATGAGTCTTCATGAGCCTCTGGATCTCTGCGAGTCTATGCGAGTCTACGCGAGTCTCTGGATCTCTGTGAGTCTCTATACGAGTCTTCATGAGTCTCTGGATCTCTGCGAGTCTCTACGAGTCTCTGTGAGTCTTTACATGAGTCTTCATGAGCCTCTGGATCTCTGCGAGTCTCTGTGAGTCTATGCGAGTCTCTGGATCTATACGCGTCTCTGGATCTCTGTGAGTCTCTATGAGTCTTCATGAGTCTCTATGTATCTCTGTGAGTCTCTACGAGTGTTCATGAGTCTCTGCGAGTCTCTACGAGTCTCTGCGAGTCTCTGCGAGTCTCTGGATCTATACGCGTCTCAGGATCTCTGTGAGTCCCTTTACGAGTCTTCATGAGTCTCTATGGCTCTCTGTGAGTCTCTATGTATTTCTGTGAGTCTCTATGAGTCTTCATGAGTCTCTATGAGTCTCTGTGAGTCTCTGCGAGTCTCTGTGAGTCTACGCGACTCTCTGGATCTATACGCGTCTCTGTATCTCTGTGAGTCTCTACACGAGTCTTCATGAGTCTCTGGATCTCTGCGAGTCTCTACGAGTCTCTATGAGTCTCTGCACGAGTCTACATGAGTCTCTGTGAGTCTCTGCGAGCCTCTACGAGTCTCTGCGAGTCTATGCGAGTCTCTGGATCTCTGCGAGTCTCTACGAGTCTCTGTGAGTCTATGCGAGTCTCTGGATCTATACGTGTCTCTGGATCTCTGTGAGTCTCTCTATACGAGTCTTCATGAGTCTCTGGATCTCTGCGAGTTTCTACGAGTCTCTGAGTCTCTATACGAGTCTTCATGAGTCTCTGGATCTCTGCGAGTCTCTATGAGTCTCTACGAGTCTACGCGAGTCTCTGGATCTCTGTGAGTCTCTATGAGTTTATATGAGTCTCTATGGATCTCTGCGAGTCTCTATGGATCTCTGTGAGTCTCTATGTATCTCTGTGAGTCTCTACATGAGTCTTCATGAGTCTCTGGATCTCTGCGAACCTCTACGAGTCTCTGCGAGTCTATGCGAGTCTCTGGATCTATACGCGTATCTGTATCTCTGTGAGTCTCTACACGAGTCTTCATGAATCTCTGGATCTCTGCGAGTCTCTGCGAGTCTCTGTGAGTCTCTATGTATCTCTGTGAGTCTCTACATGAGTCTTCATGAGTCTCTGGATCTCTGCGAGTCTCTACGAGTCTCTGCGAGTCTATGCGAGTCTCTGGATCTATACGCGTATCTGTATCTCTGTGAGTCTCTACACGAGTCTTCATGAGTCTCTGGATCTCTGCGAGTCTCTACGAGTCTCTGCGAGTCTATGCGAGTCTCTGGATCTATATGCGTCTCTGTATCTCTGTGAGTCTCTACACGAGTCTTCATGAGTCTCTGGATCTCTGCGAGTCTCTGCGAGTCTCTGTGAGTCTCTATGTATCTCTGTGAGTCTCTACACGAGTCTTCATGAGTCTCTGGATCTCTGTGAGTCTCTGCGAGTCTCTGTGAGTCTCTGTGTATCTCTGTGAGTCTCTACATGAGTCTTTATGAGTCTCTGGATCTCTGCGAGTCTCTACGAGTCTCTGTGAGTCTCTACGAGTCTCTGCGAGTCTCTGCGAGTCTCTGTGAGTCTCTATGTATCTCTGTGAGTCTCTACACGAGTCTTCATGAGTCTCTGGATCTCTGCGAGTCTCTGCAAGTCTCTGTGAGTCTCTATGTATCTCTGTGAGTCTCTACATGAGTCTTCATGAGTCTCTGGATCTCTGCGAGTCTCTGCGAGTCTCTACGAGTCTCTGCGAGTCTCTGGATCTATACGCGTCTCTGTATCTCTGTGAGTCTCTACATGAGTCTTCATGAGTCTCTGGATCTCTGCGAGTCTCTGCGAGTCTCTACGAGTCTCTGCGAGTCTCTGGATCTATACGCGTCTCTGTATCTCTGTGAGTCTCTACATGAGTCTTCATGAGTCTCTGGATCTCTGCGAGTCTCTGCGAGTCTCTACGAGTCTCTGCGAGTCTCTGGATCTATACGCGTCTCTGTATCTCTGTGAGTCTCTACACGAGTCTTCATGAGTCTCTGGATCTCTGCGAGTCTCTGCGAGTCTCTGTGAGTCTCTATGTATCTCTGTGAGTCTCTACACGAGTCTTCATGAGTCTCTGGATCTCTGTGAGTCTCTGCGAGTCTCTGTGAGTCTCTGTGTATCTCTGTGAGTCTCTACATGAGTCTTTATGAGTCTCTGGATCTCTGCGAGTCTCTACGAGTCTCTGTGAGTCTCTACGAGTCTCTGCGAGTCTCTGCGAGTCTCTGTGAGTCTCTATGTATCTCTGTGAGTCTCTACACGAGTCTTCATGAGTCTCTGGATCTCTGCGAGTCTCTGCAAGTCTCTGTGAGTCTCTATGTATCTCTGTGAGTCTCTACATGAGTCTTCATGAGTCTCTGGATCTCTGCGAGTCTCTGCGAGTCTCTACGAGTCTCTGCGAGTCTCTGGATCTATACGCGTCTCTGTATCTCTGTGAGTCTCTACATGAGTCTTCATGAGTCTCTGGATCTCTGCGAGTCTCTGCGAGTCTCTACGAGTCTCTGCGAGTCTCTGGATCTATACGCGTCTCTGTATCTCTGTGAGTCTCTACATGAGTCTTCATGAGTCTCTGGATCTCTGCGAGTCTCTGCGAGTCTCTACGAGTCTCTGCGAGTCTCTGGATCTATACGCGTCTCTGTATCTCTGTGAGTCTCTACACGAGTCTTCATGAGTCTCTGGATCTCTGCGAGTTTCTGCGAGTCTCTGTGAGTCTCTATGTATCTCTGTGAGTCTCTACACGAGTCTTCATGAGTCTCTGGATCTCTGCGAGTCTCTACGAGTCTCTGCGAGTCTCTACGAGTCTCTACGAGTCTCTGCCAGTCTCTATGAGTCTCTGCGAGCCTCTACGAGCCTCTGCGAGTCTACGCGAGTCTCTGGATCCATACGCGTCTCTGGATCTCGGGGGCTCTCCGCCCCGCAGCCCACGATTACCGATTTTCCGCTCACCTGCTCTTGGCCTTCAGGAGTGCCTGGGCCCAGCCCGTGATGAATCCCGGTTCCCGCGTGAGCCACAGGGCGGCGAGCAGCGCAAAGTGAACCGCCACGCACGCCTCGGCCCAGCTCACCGCTCCGAGCCTCGAGTACTCCTGGTACAGCAGGGCCTTCGCTGCCCTCTCCCCTTCCTCGGCCCGAGCCTCCGCCTCATCCGCCTCCTCATCCGCCGCCTCATCCGCCTCCTCGTCCTCCTCGTGGTTCCGATTCTCTCCCTCCGCGTCCACATCGTGGCCGTGATGATGACGATGACGACGATGATTATGATTCTCCCGAGCCGCCCCCGCCTCCTCATCATCCTCCTCCTCCTCCTGCTGCTGCTGCTGATCCTGCTGCTGCTGATCCTGCGTCCGGCCACTCAACGTCGCCTTCCTTCTCCCACTCTTATTCCTCTTCCGGCATCCGAGCGACGAGCAGAAACTGGGGTGGGAAACGAGACGCGGTCGCAAAGCGACGGGCAGTCACTGACGTACGAACGCCGCCCAGCACTTACGGACACCACCCACCGCTCAGGGACACCACAAACATCTTCTTTGGTTCTCTCGGTGAAGTCACGTAGAACGGGAACAAAATAATGAAATGAAACAATAAAATTATCACGACGTTTCGGGCCGCAACACAAGTGGCGGGACGACAGGTCTGTTCCTTTCGCCTGAAGAAGGCCACTTGTGTTGTGGCCGAAACGTCGTGAGAATTTAATTGTTTTGTTTTTTTTCTTTTATTCTCATTCTACGTGGTGGTGACTTTACCGAAAGAACCAAAGAAGATGAATCCTTGCAGTCACGAAGGCTTTAAATCGAAACACCACAAACACTTACGAACACCACCCACACTTAATAACGCCACCCTCACTTACAAAGACCACCCACACTTACAAACACCACCACCCTCACTTACAAACACCACCCTCACTTACGAACACCACCCACACTTACCAACACCACCACCCTCACTTACCAACACCACCCTCACTTACGAACACCACCCACACTTACCAACACCACCCTCACTTACAAACACCATCCTCACTTACGAACACCACCCTCACTTACAAACATCACCCTCACTTACGAACACCACCCACACCTACAAACACCACCCACACTTACGAACACCACCCACACTTACGAACACCACCCACACCTACAAACACCACCCACACTTACGAACACCACCCACACTTACGAACACCACCTTCACTTACCAACACCACCCACACTTACAAACACCACGCTCACTTACCAACACCACCCTCACTTACAAACACCACCCACACTTACTAACACCACCCACACTTACAAACACCACCCACACTTACCAACACTACCCACACTTACAAACACCACCCACACTTACAAACACCACCCTCACTTACCAACACCACCCTCACTTACAAACACCACCACCCACACTTACGAACACCACCCTCACTTACAAACACCACCCACACTTACTAACACCACCCACACTTACTAACACCACCCTCACTTACGAACATCACCCTCACTTACAAACACCACCCTCACTTACAAACACCACCCACACTTACAAACACCACCCTCACTTACAAACACCACCCACACTTACCAACACCACCCTCACTTACGGACACCACCACCCTCACTTACGAACACCACCCTCACTTACAAACACCACCCACACTTACGGACACCACCACCCTCACTTACGAACACCACCCTCACTTACGAACACCACCCTCACTTACCAACACCACCCTCACTTACAAACACCACCCACACTTACCAACACCACCATCACTTACAAACACCACCCACACTTACGAACACCACCCTCACTTAAAAAACACCACCCACACTTACAAACACCACCCTCACTTACAAACACCACCCTCACTTACAAACACCACCCTCACTTACAAACACCACCCTCACTTACAAACACCACCCTCACTTACGAACACCACCCACACTTACAAACACCACCCACACTTACCAACACCACCCTCACTTACAAACACCACACTCACTTACAAACACCACCCTCACTTACGAACGCCACCACCCTCACTTACAAACACCACCCTCACTTACGAACACCACCCTCACTTACAAACACCACCCACACTTACGAACACCACCCTCACTTACAAACACCACCCTCACTTACAAACACCACCCACACTTACGAACACCACCCTCACTTACTAACACCACCCACACTTACTAACACCACCCACACTTACAAACACCACCCACACTTACAAACACCACCCTCACTTATGAACACCACCCTCACTTACTAACACCACAAACACTTACAAACACCAACCTCACTTACTAACACCACCACCCTCACTTACTAACACCACCCTCACTTACAAACACCACCCACACTTACAAACACCACCCTCACTTATGAACACCACCCTCACTTACTAACACCACAAACACTTACAAACACCAACCTCACTTACTAACACCACCCACACTTACGGACACCACCCTCACTTACTAACACCACAAACACTTACAAACACCACCCTCACTTACAAACACCACCCACACTTACCAACACCAACCTCACTTACGGACACCACCCACACTTACAAACACCACCCACACTTACAAACACCACCCACACTTACAAACACCACCACCCTCACTTACCAACACCACCCTCACTTACGAACACCACCCACACTTACGAACACCACCCACACTTACAAACACCACCCTCACTTACGAACACCACCCTCATTTACAAACACCACCCTCACTTACAAACACCACCCTCACTTACAAACACCACCCACACTTACAAACACCACGCTCACTTACCAACACCACCCTCACTTACAAACACCACCCACACTTACGAACACCACCCACACTTACGAACACCACCCACACCTACAAACACCACCCACACTTACGAACACCACCCACACTTACGAACACCACCTTCACTTACCAACACCACCCACACTTACAAACACCACGCTCACTTACCAACACCACCCTCACTTACAAACACCACCCACACTTACAAACACCACCCACACTTACAAATACCACCCACACTTAGGGACACCACCCTCACTTACGGACACCACCCACCACTTACAAACACCACCCTCACTTACAAACACCACCCTCACTTACAAACACCACCCACACTTAGGGACACCACCCTCACTTACGGACACCACCCTCACTTACGAACACCACCCTCACTTACAAACACCACCCTCACTTACTAACACCACCACCCTCACTTACAAACACCACCCACACTTACTAACACCACCACTCACACTTACAAACACCACCCACACTTACAAACACCACCCACACTTACAAACACCACCCTCACTTACGAACGCCACCCACACTTACAAACACCACCCTCACTTACAAACACCACCCACACTTACAAACACCACCCACACTTACCAACTCCACCCACACTTACGGACACCACCCACACTTACAAACACCACCCACACTTACAAAGACCACCCACACTTACAAACACCACCCACACTTACCAACACCACCCTCACTTGCGAACACCACCCACACTTACAAACACCACCCACACTTACAAACACCACCCTCACTTACAAACACCACCCTCACTTACAAACACCACCCTCACTTACAAACACCACCCACACTTACAAACACCACCCTCACTTACAAACACCACCCTCACTTACAAACACCACCCTCACTTACGAACACCACCCTCACTTACGTACACCACCCCCACTTACAAACACCACCCTCACTTACAAACACCACCCACACTTACAAACATCACCCTCACTTACAAACACCACCCTCACTTACGAACACCACCCTCACTTACGGACACCACAAACACTTACTAACACCACCCTCACTTACTAACACCACCCACACTTACAAACACCACTCACACTTACTAACACCACCCACACTTACAAACACCACCCACACTTACAAACACCACCCTCACTTACAAACACCACCCACACTTACAAACACCACCACCCTCACTTACTAACACCACCACCCACACTTACAAACACCACCCACACTTACGAACACCACCCACACTTACGAACACCACCCACACTTACGAACACCACCCACACTTACGAACACCACCCTCACTTACAAACACCACCCAGACTTACAAACACCACCCACACTTACAAACACCACCCTCACTTACAAACACCACCACCCACACTTACAAACACCACCCTCACTTACAAACACCACCACCCACACTTACAAACACCACTCTCACTTACGAACACCACCCACACTTACGGACACCACCACCCTCACTTACAAACACCACCCACACTTACAAACACCACCCACACTTACGGACACCACCACCCTCACTTACAAACACCACCCTCACTTACAAACACCACCCTCACTTACGAACACCACCCACACTTACGGACACCACCCTCACTTACAAACACCACCCACACTTACAAACACCACCCACACTTACAAACACCACCCACACTTACAAACACCACCACCCACACTTACAAACACCACTCTCACTTACAAACACCACCACCCACACTTACAAACACCACTCTCACTTACAAACACCACCACCCACACTTACAAACACCACCCTCACTTACGAACACCACCCACACTTACAAACACCACCCTCACTTACAAACACCACCCACACTTACAAACACCACCACCCTCACTTACCAACACCACCCTCACTTACAAACACCACCCACACTTACAAACACCACCCACACTTACAAACACCACCCTCACTTACTAACACCACCCACACTTACAAACACCACCCACACTTACTAACACCACCCTCACTTACAAACACCACCCACACTTACAAACACCACCCACACTTACAAACACCACCCCCACTTACAAACACCACCCTCACTTACAAACACCACCCTCACTTACGAACACCACCCTCACTTACGTACACCACCCCCACTTACAAACACCACCCTCACTTACAAACACCACCCACACTTACAAACATCACCCTCACTTACAAACACCACCCTCACTTACGAACACCACCCTCACTTACGGACACCACAAACACTTACTAACACCACCCTCACTTACTAACACCACCCACACTTACCAACACCACCCACACTTACAAACACCACTCACACTTACTAACACCACCCACACTTACAAACACCACCCACACTTACAAACACCACCCACACTTACAAACACCACCCTCACTTACAAACACCACCCACACTTACAAACACCACCCTCACTTACCAACACCACCACCCTCACTTACGAACACCACCACCCTCACTTACGAACACCACCCACACTTACGAACACCACCCACACTTACGAACACCACCCACACTTACAAACACCACCCTCACTTACAAACACCACTCACACTTACAAACACCACCCTCACTTACGAACACCACCCTCACTTACAAGCACCACCCACACTTACGGACACCACCCACACTTACTAACACCACCCTCACTTACGAACACCACCCACACTTACGAACACCACCCACACTTACGAACACCACCCTCACTTACGAACACCACCCACACTTACAAACACCACCCTCACTTACAAATACCACCCACACTTACGAACACCACCCACACTTACTAACACCACCCACACTTACGAACACCACCCACACTTACGAACACCACCCACACTTACGAACACCACCCTCACTTACAAACACCACCCAGACTTACAAACACCACCCACACTTACAAACACCACCCACACTTACAAACACCACCCTCACTTACAAACACCACCACCCACACTTACAAACACCACTCTCACTTACGAACACCACCCACACTTACGGACACCACCACCCTCACTTACAAACACCACCCACACTTACAAACACCACCCACACTTACGGACACCACCACCCTCACTTACAAACACCACCCTCACTTACAAACACCACCCTCACTTACGAACACCACCCACACTTACGGACACCACCCTCACTTACAAACACCACCCACACTTACAAACACCACCCACACTTACAAACACCACCCACACTTACAAACACCACCACCCACACTTACAAACACCACTCTCACTTACAAACACCACCACCCACACTTACAAACACCACTCTCACTTACAAACACCACCACCCACACTTACAAACACCACTCTCACTTACGAACACCACCCACACTTACGGACACCACCACCCTCACTTACAAACACCACCCACACTTACAAACACCACCCACACTTACGGACACCACCACCCTCACTTACAAACACCACCCACACTTACAAACACCACCCTCACTTACAAACACCACCCTCACTTACCAACACCACCCACACTTACAAACACCACCCACACTTACAAACACCACGCTCACTTACAAACACCACCCACACTTACGGACACCACCCACACTTACAAACACCACTCACACTTACAAACACCACCCACACTTACAAACACCACCCACACTTACGAAGACCACCCTCACTTACCAACACCACCACCCTCACTTACAAACACCACCACCCTCACTTACAAACACCACCCTCACTTACAAACACCACCCTCACTTACAAACACCACCCACACTTACTAGCACTACCCACACTTACGAACACCACCCTCACTTACAAACACCACCCACACTTACAAACACCACTCACACTTACAAACACCACCCTCACTTACAAACACCACCCTCAATTACCAACACCACCCCCCCTTACAAACACCACCCTCACTTACAAACACCACCCTCACTTACAAACACCACCCTTACTTACGAACACCGCCCTCACTTACGGACACCACCACCCTCACTTATGAACACCACCCACACTTACTAACACCACCCACACTTACCAACACCACCCTCACTTACAAACACCACCCTCACTTACAAACACCACCCTCACTTACAAACACCACCACCCTCACTTACAAACACCACCCACACTTACAAACACCACCCTCACTTACAAACACCACGCACACTTACAAACACCACCTTCACTTACAAACACCACCCACACTTACAAACACCACCCACACTTACCAACACCACCCACACTTACAAACACCACCCCCACTTACCAACACCACCCTCACTTACAAACACCACCACCCTCAATTACCAACACCACCCTCACTTACTAGCACCACCCACACTTACGAACACCAACACCCTCACTTACGAACGCCTGGTATAAAGGAGCTCGTGGGTTCGATCCCGATCCTAACGATTCCTTATTTGGAATTTGCATCTCTCTCTCTCTCTCAGCATCATCACGCTGGCTAGGGAATGTTAACTACCTCGCCTGGTATACAGGAGGACGTGGGTTCGATCCCTACCCCTGACGATGCCTGCTGCTGCTGTAGATTTCGAGTCTGTGTGTGTGTGTGAGTCTCTCTCTGTCTCTCTCTCTCCCCGTGGATTATTCGCGGGTAATCCGGTTTTTCACTCCACATTTAGAATAGACATCACGACGCGTTCAGAGCATTTGACCGCTGATATAAATGTCCACGTGGTGATGATGATAATGAGATCAGCCACGTGGTTGAGCTGCTATGATCAGGTGGCGTCTGACAACAGAGATACACAGCAAATCAGTGGGACCTTCAAAGTGGTACAATAAACACCGTTAATTTGTAGTGTGGGTCTCTGTGAGTGTGGGTCTCTGTGAGTGTGAGTCTCTGTGAGTGTGAGTCTCTGTGGGTCTCTGTGAGTGTGGGTCTCTGTGAGTGTGAATCTGTGTGGGTCTCTGTGGGTCTCTGTGAGTGTGGGTCTCTGTGAGTGTGGGTCTCTGTGAGTGTGAGTCTCTGTGAGTGTGGGTCTCTGTGAGTGTGAGTCTCTGTGAGTGTGAGTCTCTGTGAGTGTGGGTCTCTGTGGGTCTCTGTGGGTCTCTGTGATTGTGAGTCTCTGTGGGTCTCTGTGAGTGTGGGTCTCTGTGAGTCTCTGTGAGTGTGGGTCTCTGTGGGTCTCTGTGAGTGTGGGTCTCTGTGGGTCTCTGTGAGTGTGGGTCTCTATGAGTGTGGGTCTCTGTGAGTGTGGGTCTCTGTGAGTGTGAGTCTCTGTGAGTGTGGGTCTCTGTGGGTCTCTGTGAGTGTGGGTCTCTGTGGGTCTCTGTGAGTGTGGGTCTCTGTGGGTCTCTATGAGTGTGGGTCTCTGTGGGTCTCTATGAGTGTGGGTCTCTGTGAATGTGGGTCTCTGTGAGTGTGAGTCTCTGTGAGTGTGGGTCTCTGTGGGTCTCTGTGAGTGTGGGTCTCTGTGAGTGTGGGTCTCTATGAGTGTGGGTCTCTGTGAGTGTGGGTGTCGGTGGGTCTCTGTGAGTGTGGGTGTCGGTGGGTCTCTGTGAGTGTGGGTCTCTGTGAGTGTGAGTCTCTGTGAGTGTGGGTCTCTGTGGGTCTCTGTGAGTGTGGGTCTCTATGAGTGTGGGTCTCTGTGGGTCTCTGTGAGTGTGGGTCTCTGTGGGTGTGGGTCTCTATGAGTTTGGGTCTCTGTGGGTCTCTGTGAGTGTGGGTCTCTATGAGTGTGGGTCTCTGTGAGTGTGGGTCTCTGTGAGTGTGGGTCTCTGTGAGTGTGGGTCTCTGTGGGTCTCTGTGAGTGTGGGTCTCTGTGGGTGTGGGTCTCTATGAGTTTGGGTCTCTGTGGGTCTCTGTGAGTGTGGGTCTCTATGAGTGTGGGTCTCTGTGAGTGTGGGTCTCTGTGAGTGTGGGTCTCTGTGAGTGTGGGTCTCTGTGGGTCTCTGTGAGTGTGGGTCTCTGTGAGTGTGAGTCGCTGTAGGTCTCAGTGAGTGTGGGTCTCTGTGAGTGTGGGTCTCTGTGGGTCTCTGTGAGTGTGGGTCTCTGTGAGTGTGGGTCTCTGTGGGTGTGGGTCTCTGTGAGTGTGGGTCTCTATGGGTGTGGGTCTCTATGGGTGTGGGTCTCTATGGGTGTGGGTCTCTATGGGTGTGGGTCTCTATGGGTGTGGGTCTCTGTGAGTGTGGGTCTCTGTAGGTGTGGGTCTCTGTGGGTCTCTGTGAGTGTGGGTCTCTGTGAGTGTGGGTCTCTGTGGGTCTCTGTGAGTGTGGGTCTCTGTGGGTCTCTGTGAGTGTGGGTCTCTGTGAGTCTCTGTGAGTGTGGGTCTCTGTGAGTGTGGGTCTCTGTGGGTCTCTGTGAGTGTGGGTCTCTGTGAGTGTGGGTCTCTGTGGGTGTCTATGGGTCTCTGTGGGTGTCTATGAGTGTCTGTGGGTGTCTATGGGTCTCTGTGAGTGTGGGTCTCTGTGGGTGTCTATGGGTCTCTGTGAGTGTCTATGGGTCTCTGTGGGTGTCTATGGGTCTCTGTGGGTGTCTATGGGTCTCTGTGAGTGTGGGTCTCTGTGGGTGTGGGTCTCTGTGGGTGTCTATGGGTCTCTGTGAGTGTGGGTCTCTGTGAGTGTGGGTCTCTGTGGGTGTCTATGGGTCTCTGTGGGTGACTGTGGGTGCAGCTGCTTACTCTGTTCCCAGGAAGAGTGAATGGAGCCACAGCCAGGCTGCACTGAGCATGATCACCGTGACGGGCAGAGAGAATCCCATCCAAGCGGCAAAGCTCACCACTCCACCATTGCCTGGGAAGAGCCTGAGGACACTCAGTGACACACACACAGTGACACACACACACAGTGACACACACACACAGTGACACACACACAGTGATACACAACAACAACAACAACCGCCATTCACCACTAAGTGGCGGTGACGTCACCACGACGCTTGTGCCAGGCTATGTGCACCCTGAGGCCACGTGAAGTGTCGAACGCCCGCTGGCAGGAGGTCACGGGGCAGACCCAGGTGCCACGGGTCGACTGACTGAGATGACTGAGATGACTGGCTGATGCACCACCTGTGCCCCCTACTGTGCCAACCTGCTGTGCTTTAGCCACCCGGCGCTCCGCTCGCTGTTGTGAGCGTCGCTCCTTCACCCTCCGTTGTTGTTGGAGGGCGACTACCTCCAACTGCCCAGTAGCATCCTTCACGAGCCTCCTCCACAGAGGCCGATCTTGACACCGCTGGTACCAGTCATCGGCAAGTCCACTCAGCTCCACGTCCTCCTGTACCACATCACTCCATCTCTTCTCTAGCCCGTGCCGCGCCCGCTTAGCCCCCTCAATCCGGCCGAACAAAAGCTGTTTCGGCATGCGGTGGCTGGGCATGCGGGCTACATGACCCAGCCATCGCAGCCTTGCCCGCCGGAGGAGCTCACCGATGGGACCTTGCTCAGATCTTTCAAGGATTTGTGAGCTCCTCACACAATCCAGTCTGGTTAAATCCAGGATGGATCGTAGGAATTCCAGCCTAAATGTTTCTAACCGGCGAAGATGTTCCATTAGGGGGGTCCACGTTTCGCACGCACAGAGAAGGGAGGGAATGACCATGGCCGAGAAGACCTGAAGCTTAGTGCGGAGCAACAGACCAAGTAGCTTCCACACAGCGTTACGCAACCAATGAAAAGATATTGCCGCTCGACTGATTCGGAGTGAGACTTCTGCTGTTAACCTGGAGCCGGTCATAAGCACACTTCCCAGGTATGGGAAACTCTCCACTCTCTCCACAACTGCCCCATCACCGATTGGGAGTTGTGGGGGTGGAGTGTCCGATGGTACAAAATACCCAGGCAGGTGCTTAGTTTTGGTGGGGCTGATGGTAAGGCCCCATCTCTTAGTGGCACGCTCCAGTCTCAGCAGCAGCAGCGTCTCCAACTCCTCCTCTGAATGAGCAGCTATTACCAAATCATCAGCATACATAACGTGGTTGAGCAATAGGGAGCCATCCCTTGACTGCACCCGGGCATCGATCAGCCTCCCATTATATCAGTACCATATGGAGATTCCCCCGGTACAGCTATTGAAGGCTTCACGAACTACGTGGTCGAAATAGATGTTACATAATGTGGGAGCCAGAGGACATCCCTGTCGCACCCCAAGGTGTACAGGGAAAGGCTCGGACTCCCGGCCACGTAGTTTTACCCGTGCCCGCTCACCATTATGAAGGTCCTTAATGATCATGAGCAGAGGGTAAGGTACTCCAAAAGCACGAAGAACAACCCAGAGCCCAGGCCTATTGATAGTATCATAGGCCTTGACCAGGTCAATAAAGCAGAGATGTAGATCTTGCTGGAATTCCCTACACCTCTGCTGTAGCAGACGGACAGAAAATATGGCATCTGTGCAGGACCGCCCTTTCCTGAAACCGCATTGGGGCTCCGCAAGCCTCTCCTCAGCGTGCTTGGCAAGGCAATGTTGAATAATCCTTGCCAGGACCTTTTCCGGCACACTGAGGAGTGAAATGCCCCTGTAGTTGTTACAGTCTGTGCGGTCCCCCTTCTTAGAGAGGGGGACCACCAGGGCATCCTTCTAATCCTGCGGAACCCGTCCAGTGGTCCAGACTGTTGTTATGATGTCATATAGGGCAGTCTGTGCACAAACTCCACCCTCCCTCAGCATTTCGCTTGGGAGATCATCTCTGCCCCCTGCCTTTCCTGGTCTCAGACTCCGGATCGCCTTCAGTACTTCCTCAACAGATGGCACCTCAGCCAGAAACTCACAGGGGGTGACTTCTTCCAATATTTGAGGCACCGCAGCCTCAGCAGGGTCATCCTCACTTTGTGCCATGATGTTTTCCTGGCTGAGAGATTTTCCCTCCCCCAGGACCTCACAGAAATGCTCAGCAAATCTGCAAACCTGTTCCTGGGGGTGTGGCGCTGCAGGTTACTTTTTGATGGAGTTAAAGTGATTTGTAGCCGATGACAGTGGGCCTGTCGCTTTTTCTCAACCATCCTGAACACCTCCTCTGTCAGCCAAGGTCTCTGGGGAGGTCCTGACCGCATACCCAAAGCAGACATTGCAGCCGCATGAGTCACAGTTCTAAACCTCGCCCATTTACCCTCGACATCAGGAGGAGTGGGGGACGATGCCAACCCCAGCCGCAGGCGGTGATGAAATTCTCGCTTGCAACTTTCATCAGATAACCAAGACCAGGCCACTTTAGGTTGGAATGGGGTCCTGGGTGTACACCCACCACTGGAGTGGAAGAATGGCAGGCGCATCTTACAGATGACTAGTCGATGGTCAGAGGGCAGATCAGCTCCACGGTAGCTCTTGGTGTCAAGGACATGGGCTCGCATCCGCTCGTCCGTCACTATGTAGTCCAGCAGATGTTCTTGCTTGGACCCGGCATGCATCCATGATGTTGTGTGGATGCGCCGATGCCAGAACAGCGTGTTGGTAATTACAAGTCCATGGGCTGCACAAAAATCTAGCAGCCTCCTACCATTGTTATTAAGCTGATCCGGCCCATGCCCTCCAATCACTCCAGGCCAGGTGCCAGCATCATGACCAACTCGGGCATTGAAATCACCCAACAAGATGACTCTATCCCGAGGGGCACTTTAGCTAGCACCTGTGACAGGAGGTCATAGAAGGCATCTGACTCATCGGATTTGCCTGCATCCCTCAACGGATGTTCGTCTTCGATGGGGGCATAAGTAACCATGA